TTTTGTTTGTTGGTTTTTAGTTTTAATTTGTAATGGTCTAAATACTTATGGTGGAACCAGTTTTCTTATAATTGTTTAAATTCTAAAATTGTATGTTGCTATTATGGAAATGGGTGTTACTATTATGAAACTAATATGATATTATGTTTATATTTTTATGAAATCAAAATGTTTTATATTTTTTTTTTGTTATTAATTATCTGAATTTGTGGTCTTAAACCGATCTAATCCGTGTTTAAATAGATTGATTCGGATTGGTTCCACAATTTAAACGGATTAGATTGGTTCCATTTTTCAAGAATCGTAGATGGCGGATTGGTCATGCTTTTACCCCAATCCGGACCATACTCATCTCTAATTTTTGTGACTTTTTTTATTAGACTACTTATTTCAACTTTTAAACTTCAACCGAAATAATTACAAAAATTAATTTTTACCCCCTAAGATTTAATTAAAATACGAATTAATCCATGTGATTTTGAAAATTATATTCCATCCTCTGAAATCTCTAATTTCATAACAAATCGCCCCTTTTATTAATAAGTCATCAAGTCAATTAACAGTTTTTTAAAATGTTAGAAATATATTTCAATTAATAATTTAGGTAATTTTATTATTGTATAGAAGAGCAATTATGAATTTCATTTTTTTAGTTAATTCTGTTAAATAAAAAATTCTAACAATGAAATATTTGTAACTTTTCAAATCATAAGAGGCAATCTGTACTTTAAGCAAACCTTAGGGGGTGTATTGGTAATTTATCCTATTATATTTCAACTTTAAAAGTATTTACAAACATTTTATATTATTTATTAATATTTTTATAATATTATAATAAAAATAGTTGAAATATAAGATGTTTACAAATATTAATTTTTGTAACTATTTTTATTAAACTAATTATTTCCGCTTTTAAACTTCAACCAAAAATTAGTTACAAAAATTAATTTTTATATTATATTTCAACTTTAAAAGTAGTTACAAACATTTTATATTATTTATTAATATTTTTATAATATTAAATCAAACCCCATACACCAAAAAATAATAATAACTAATATTAATTCAAATCATAAAAATAAAAAATACATGTATTCAAACCATACAAATATTAATTCACATATTAAACTTACACTTGACGCAGACTAAACTTACACACCCACGTAGATTTAACTTAGACTTGCACACCCACACAGATTCACCTTGCATCCCTACATGGACTGGACCTACAACTTACACAAACTAGACTTGCATCCCACCCAAATTGGACTTGCACTCAGGCACAGATTGAATTTGCACTCCAATCAAATATTTTTAATACTGAAATATATTATGTGAATTCTTCTTTTTTTATGATTAATTTTTGCTATTTTTGAAATTATTTATAAAGTTAAAATTTACAATGCAATTAATTTTTTAAAACTAATTTTTGTAACTATTTTTAAAGTTGAAATATAAAATATTTGGTTGAATTTTTAAAATTTGTCTTTTATTTTTTTCTAAAAAATTAAAAATAATTTGTTAAAAAAAAACATCATTTTCATTTTCATATTATTCTATCTTTTTTTTAGCAAAAATATTTTTTTTAATATTTGTATGTTTGAATATTATTTTTTATTTGAGTTAATATTTTTATTAGTGTCTACGTTGTCTCTTAGCAAATAAAAATAACATTTTTTATTTAACAACTAATTTTGAAAAAATATTATTTTTATCAACTCAAATCATAATATTTGAGTAAATAATATTTTTAAAGTAAAAATGAGATGGGTTGAATTAATATTAGTAGTATTTTTTATGCAATAGAAAAAGTCATACAAATATATGTTATTTTTAAAGTAAAATAATATTTTTTAAAATTAAAAATGAGATGGGGGTGTGGATGTGATTTGTGATGTATTATGTGTATGCATGCATAAATCTAGGTGTACATTTAGAGAAGTTGTTGCTATTCTTGGAATATTGCATGTGGTATCTTAATGGTATTGTTATTGGTGGAGGGGGTATGACCTACGAATTTGTGTTGGGTGATTGAGAAATATGAGAGAGCATAATGAATTGTAATTGGTATAGAGTATGGCCATGTAATGTCCCAAGACCAACCAATAAATTTTTAAGTAAATTGGTGATAAATCCAATCTAAGGAGATTGTAAGGTATTAGGTTCAGTGTATATTTTTTTGTTGAAGATAAGTCTATCATTGTGAAATAGTTTAGTGAGAAGTCTTTTTGTTTTTTTAAAGGACATTTGGTTTTCAATTTTATCTCTTAATTTATGTGTTGACTTTTTTTATCTGTTGACTTTTGTTGACTATCTCTTCAAATTTTTTTCCTATTTATTCAAATTTTTTCTATATCTATTCAAAAATATTTCTTATCTGTTGAAATTTTTTACTTATCTATTTAAATTTATATTTATCTGTTGAACTTTTTTCCTTATCTGTTCAATTTTTTCACTTTATTTGTTCAAATTTTATTATCTGTTCATTTTTTTTAATCGGTTGAAATATTAAGCCTCTATCTGTTCAAATATTTTTTTTCTTTTTCCATTTCCCTATCTGTTTCAATATGTTTCATCATTATCATCATCATCAACAATAACAACAACAATTTGTTCATTTTTTTTTCTATTTGTTGAAATATGGAGCTCCCTGTTTGTTCAAATTTTTCTTTTCTTTCTCCCTCTCCTTCTCCCTATCTGTTGCAATATTTGTCCATTACAGATCTGTTTCTTTATCAACAACATTCATCATCATCATCATCATCAGCAACAATAATCAACTGCAGAGAGAGAGAGAGAGAGAGAGAGAGAGAGAATCAAACTGCTATCCGTTAAAAAAAAAATACACCTGGATACAGGCATACGTACATATATATATATATATATATGTGTATGTGTGTGTGTATGTCTAACTAATTCTGTTGATTTCACCACACACACGCACATACATACATATATATATACCTACATGTGCATACCTCCCTCCAATCGCAAAATCAAATGAAGCATAGATTTCTTTTGAATATTGTAGTTAGTGAGCGTAAAACCATATTCAAGCTGTTTTTTTGGTGAAAATCAAACACAGCTGGTCCGGAGGAATCCCTTAATTGTCTTGAATCTTTGCCTTGACCAATTGTTTCTGAGCTCTCAACCTTCAAAGTTATCGACTTTGTTTGGTTTGTTTTTGAGAGATTAATTTTGGAGAAAATTTTTCAAAAATTTGTTTGGTTTAGTGATTTTGGATTTTTATTTTCCAAAATCACTCTCTTTCCTACACATAAATCAATCAATTTTTCTCTCTCATCTCTCATTTTCAATCACTTTTTTTCTCATACACATCTACTCAACTACAACAAAATATCAAATCATTTCAAACTCCCATACTCCAAAACTATTTCTCAAATATACAACCAAACAAACCAATTTTTTTTTTTTAAATTCTCTCCCCAATTTTTTTTTAAAAAAAATTATCTCCCAAAACCAAACCAAACACACCCATCGTCTTTCTGGTGAGAGTCTTCACGAAAGATTTACATACTGCCGCGGAGACGAAGGATGAGGTTGAGTGTGGACTCCTTCTGAATATTGTGATTGGCGATGAAGGGCGACGGAGGTAAACTTGAGCGTGAGTAAACTGTTGGCGAAATAGTATGTGGAGGTTCAATCTGGTGATGATGGTGGCAGATCTATCGATTTGCGAAGTTGATTTGGGATGGTAAATTAACATCATAGATGAATTTCTCAGGCGGCGACGGAACTGAAGGTCATACGTAGCTAAAGTGAGGAGATTAGAGAGAGAGATATGTGGGTTTGGTTTGAGAATATGCGGATAATATATATATATATATATATATATAAGGGTAGTTTAGTCATTCAATAATGTTTGAGAGCTTTAATTTGAGAGCTCTAATGCAGCTCTAATGATGTGAAGAGTGTCTATGTGAAGAGGGAGCCCATACTCATCTCTCTATCTCTCTCTACTTTCTTTCTCTTCCACCTTATTAGAGCTCCTATTAGAGCTACTATTTTAGAGTTATGTAACATTGTTGTTAGTCGTGTGATAGAAATTATCCTTATGAACCTAATGTTTTAGCACTAAGATTTTTGGATAAAAAAATTTTAGTAGTTGTTTGGGATGTGTTACATAAGTGTATTTTTTGACTTTTTAGTTAAAAAAGTAGAGAAAAAAAAAATAATTTTAGACTTTTGAACTCATCGCCTTAATTTTTAATATATGTAAGTGTGTGTGTGTGTGTCAGGTAAGAGAGAGTTGTTAAAAAAAAAGGTAAATTACAAATACACTCCTGGGATTTGCTTAAAGTACAGATTACTCCTTGTGATTTGGAAAATTATAAATACCTCATCGTTAGTAGTTTTTTATTTAACATAATTAAATGAAAAAAAGAAATTCATATTTGCTCGTCTATATAATAATAAAATTATTTAAATTATTAATTGAAATATATTTCTAACATCATTAAAAACTGTTAATTAATTTGATGATTTATTAATAAAATAGGTGATTTGTTATGAAATTAGAAACCTCATGAGTGAAATGTAATTTTTAAAATTATAAGGGGCAATTTATATTTTAACCAAATCTCAAAATTATATTTATAATTTATCCAAAAAAAAAAAAATGTTTGTGAAAGAGAGAATTGACAGAGAAAGTGTGACGTGAAAAGGGGAAAAAGACAAAAAAATAAAAATAAAAAATTCATATCTTGGTAATTATTTTTACACTTACCACTGTTGATATAATTTAAAAATATTTTCCACTGAGACTTGCTTTAGCGAGCTAGTAAAAAGCTAAATTTTAATTTTTTTAATAAAAAAGTTAAATTTTTTATTCAAATTAAAAATTAACTAAAAAAAAAAGAAAAAAAGTTAAAAGAAATTTTTTTACCAGTTTTGTGATATTTTTTCACATCTACAGCTTTTTTTTTCGTATTTTTTTCGTGCTGTAACTCCCCCTTTCTTTAATATTTTTTTTCTCTCTCTCTCTCTCTCTCTCTCAAACAAATTTCGATCGCGCCCTGAACCCAAACCATTTCTCTCATCTCAAAAAAACCGTTTCTTGACCCCCAAATTGAGTAAAACTAGCCATGGAAATGCCTTCGATCTCTTCGAGCCCCCGTACCGTCGAAGAGATCTTCAAAGACTACTGCGGTCGTCGCGCCGGCGTCGTCCGCGCTCTCACTTACGGTACTTCTATCCATCCCCCCATTCATCAACACACACACTTCAAACCCTAATTTCAACAAACCCTAATTTAATCGCTTTTATCTTTCTCAATTCTCTCTCTCTCTCTCTCTCCCTCAGATGTCGATGAGTTCTACTCTCTCTGCGATCCAGGTTGATCTCATCTTTCCCCCCCTCTATTACCCCTTTATCTGCATGTTTGTATGTGTACAGTTTTGCTTACTTTGATTTTGGATTTGGGTTTTGGGTTTTGGGTTTGTTTTGATTTTCTCTGTCTAGATAAGGAGAATTTGTGTTTGTATGGTCACCCGAACGATACATGGGAAGTGACACTGCCGGCCGAGGAGGTTCCACCGGAACTTCCCGAGCCGGCGTTGGGGATCAATTTCGCCAGGGATGGAATGAATCGGAGAGACTGGCTTTCGCTCGTGGCTGTGCACACTGATTCTTGGTTGCTCGCTGTTGCTTTCTATTTTGGAGCTCGCTTTAATCGCAATGAGAGGTACCTTTTATTGTTTTGTTGCTTCATGTTGAACTGGTTATGATATTGACTGTTGAGTGCATTTTTATATATTGTTGGGTTGATGTATATTGACAAACTCTAAATTTCAATTGGGGACTAAATTTTGTGCCTTTTACATTAGGAGTTCAGTGATGCTTCATTTGTTTAGTTGCTAACTACTTTTGGTGGTTGAATATGTACAACGGTAGATTTTGTATAATCCTTTGGGAGGTTGGGTCGTGTATTTGCAATTGTATTTAATTACTTCTTGACTGGTATAAATATACAGCTGTTGGTGGTGAGTGGGCTAGTTACCACCAGAGGTGGAAGGGGGGAGAGAAAAGGTAGTCTTAGATAGAGAGAGATAGGGTGAGTGGCAGTGGAGAGTTTTTGAGATTCATCAAAGAAGATCACTGCATATGGCATTTTTTTTATTATGCATAGTATGCATGGAGGTCTTCCACCCCTATTTATAGGAGTGTCAGGCCTTGGAGTCCAACTCACCTGAGCCTACAGTCCCACATATGGATTGATTGCTGACAATGGAACAACCTTCATTGATAAGACAGTCCAAAGGTAGCAACCATCAGTCTGTGGTGCTGAATTGGTTAGAGGTCTAAGTGGCTGTGGTGTTGGTTAAGGGTAGACTTCACCTAATGGCTGGCCCATGGTTTATAGGGCTTGGCATCATGGTTTGGGCCTATAGGATTGGGTTTGATAATTTTTTCCGTCTGGATTGTAATTTCTAGCTATGCTTGGGAGGAGTGCTTGAAGCTAGGGATGACAATTTGAACCCGGCCCGACGGAGACCCGACCCCCCGACCCCGAATTGAGCAGTTTTTTCTCGAAAAATACCCCCGACGGGCCGGGGATAGTATTTAAAAATAAATTCCCGATGATGTTCGGGCCGGGGACAGGGATACATTTTCCAACCCCGGCCCCGGCCCCGGCCCCCCTATTCTGTTCATATATGTATAAATATATATGTGTGTTGTGTGTGTTTGGTACAACAAACATAACACAGAATATATATGTTTGTGGTGTGTGAGTTGGCACAACAAAACAAACCCACCACAGACGCATCATCTGGCTCCTCTCTCTCTCTCTTCCTTCTCTCTCTCTCTCTAACACACAACTGCAGCTCCCTTACCGATGGCTCTTTCTCTGGTTCTCACCGGCAGCTCCCTCACCGCCGGCTTCTTCTCTCGTTCTCACCGCCGACTCATCTCCCTCTCACGGTATCTCTCTCTCTCTCTCTCTCACGGATCTCCTTCTCTCTCTCTGTCTCTCATGGATCTCCTTCTCTCTCTGTCTCTCTGTCTCTCTCTCTCTTTCTTGTTTTTTGCTTTTGTTCAGATCTAGAAAATGGTGGAGTTGAAGATGAAGATGTTGATGAAGATCTGTTGGTGATGAAAATGATGAAAATGCTTTTTGATCGGTTAGATCTTTTAAGGCTCAGATGTTTGATTTGTTAGATGTTTTCTGGAGCTGTTTTTTTTTTGGCCGGAGATTTTCAGGGTCGGGGAAACCCGATCCCTGTTAGGGAGCGGTAGTGGGTTTCTCGTCGGGGATCGGGGCCAGGGACGGGGGAGTTTCCACCATCGGGGATTGGGGACGGGGAGGGTGATCCCCGGCCCCGCCCTGGCTCGTTGCCGTTCCTACTTGAAGCTCACCCCTACCTGCAAATTTTGTTTATATAGAATACTTTGGGTAAAGCTGGCTGTACTAATTTTCCCAAAACAGTGTAAAGGAATGGAGATGAGAGGATCTCATAACAAATGATGAAGAAAAATATATAGAAAATCAAAATTGCAACTTCATGTTTATGATTTGATAAGTGAATAGCTTAACTTGTCCTATGGTTAAAGAAACTTTTTGGTGGAATGATGAAACAAGACGAGTGGTTGGGCCAACCATAATTTTATTATACATCCACATGATAACTTTATGTAGTTTCACCAACAAGTTTGACCATAAAATAAAACAAGACATGACAACCAGAGATTGCTGAATTTATTGTAATTTTATTTATGAACTTGTAGATGTAATTGAGGGAGGTTAAAGATAGGTGGGGGGGACCTTGGTGCATTGGGGAGATTTTATGTCGTGTCATTCCCTATGGAGCATTGTGTTTGCAAACATGTCTCTTTGGTTATGATGGAATTCTAGGATTTTACAGAAGCAAATGATTTGATTGATCTCCCTTTGACAGGAGCAAGATACGCTTGATGCAATAACAGAGAAACCCCTTCTCTTTTGATGATTTCTTAGTTTCCCTTGATTTAGATTAACATTTTCTTGGAGTTTGTCAATTACTTGGACAAGTAGAGAAGCTCCTTTTTGTTTGATGATTGACAAATTCTTAGTTTCCTTTGATTGAGACTAGCATTTTCTTGGAGATTGTCAGTTAGTTTTTCAGCAGCCAATGTCAAATCATGCACGTCTTTTGTTGCATAGTTGAGACATTCTTCATAATCGAGCCCTTACAAGTTTGAAAACATGTGGCTGAAAGTGGATGGTTTCATTAATAAAATTAGAACCTATGTTGAGTGGGTCTTGGATATCAGGGGATCTAGAGTATATGATAGCTAAGCAATTGAAATTGCTTAAAGAATATTTGGAAAAGTGGAATAAAGAGGAATTAGGCAATATAGCTTTCGAAATGGCATGCATTAAGGAGACTGATGAAGAGTCTGAAGAAGGTATTTATAGAGGAGTAAGAGTTGCATGAAGGGGAAGCTAAAGGGGAGTTGGGTTGCATTGTCCTTATGGTATAAGAAGGGGTCTATTAGGCAACCCAATATGGGATTGGAGTGGGGTTCAAAAGATTCAAAACAAGCGATAACCAGTTTATTAGTAAATGCAATTTCAAATTCGTAAGAACCAAATGTGAATGCTCTAAGAGTGCTATAAGCAAACGATAGATATCAATTGGTTATAGCTATAGAGGATAAGCACAAGTACTAAATGTAAGATAAGAAGGATAGGGGAAAGAATAAACCAAATGTTGCGATGTATAGTGATTTGGCTCAACCAAGCCTACATCCACTTCCAAAGGCTTCTCCTTGAAATTCTTCATTATTCAACAATAGCTTACAACTTACAAGCTTCCCATGTGCTTGCAAGACAACAAGTATTTTCTCCCAAAATACTCAAAAATACAAATCCCCAAAACAACCTTTTTTTTGGGTAGAGCAAAAACTTTTGAGTATTAATACCCAAACACTCAAGCCAAGTTTGGGAAGACTAAATAAGTGTACTTTTTGACTTTTTTTGTATTATGTGTAGAAAAAGTAGAGAGGAGATGTTGATTGATGTGACCCAAAAAAGATAAAAAGATGAAATAAGTGCACTTTTTTAGGTTAGCCAAACTTGGCCTCAAATTCCTCACCAAGGGTTCACAAACCCTTTTCCAAATGATTCGAGCAATAAATGAGTACAAGAATGCAAGTAATAACTCCCCAAGGTTGGATGGATTTAAAAGGATAGATTCAAGATTATTACTATGGGGGTGCAAAAGTATGTTTTGGAGTACAAATCCTTATAATTTTAAATTATTTTAAATTTTCTAGTATAATATATGATATTTTTCAAATTTTTTGGGGATGTGGTTGCCCCCCCTCGCACCCCCCTAGATCCGTCCTTGGATTTTATACAATGAAGAACAAGTACACAATGTATTTATGAACTATGACTTGAAAGCTTTGAATTTTTTGAATGGTTTAAAAGTATGAGATCAAATCTTGTCTTCTAGTGAGTTATGATTGTTGTTTTGTAGCCCTTCATCACTTTTGAACTGTTAGTGGTAGTTGAATTTTATTAAATTTGAAAGGAGCAATTAAAAAAAAATCAGTTTTGTATCCAATCGCACCCAAATTAAAAAATCCCAATAGTTGTTGTCGACAACATAATGGAAGGGGTCAACACCATTTGGTTTCAGCACCTTGCATCTTGAAGTTATTTTTCCAACCAACTTGTAAAATAGTGTCGACACCTTCTTAGAAGTGGTTGACTGGGAAGATTGAAATTTCTACTTCCACGGTGTTCCAAATCATGCTAAATTCAATATTTATGGCAAATAAATGTCACAAGGCATGAATTCAACAATTTTAATGATTTTTAACAACATAGATTCAAATCATAGACTTAAGATATGAAATTATAAGCATAATGACTTTCTTGAAACTCGAAATATTTGAGATACAATTGCAATAGAATTATCAACCCTCTAAATTCATTTTGCTATATTAATCTAAGCGTACTCTTAGAAACCTAAGGGCTAAGTCCACAAAAAAACTTCTTCTATCGCATGGCTAATGTGCATTGGAGATCCAACCACATTGGGAGTACAAAGTTCTTCGATTGCATGGCTAATGCTGATTGGAGATCTAAGCACATTGGGAGTTTGGTAATTGAGGGAGTTGAAACTAAGGAGGAAGAAAGCATTCACATGGGAGTGGTGAGCTATTATGAGAATTTGTTTAGGGAGCCACACAAACCAACCAACCCACCCACCCGTCCGAGCCAACCAAAATCGAAGCTCCACAGTCATTTCGAATAAACCAAAGGTCGGCAATGGTTTACTCTGCATCAATTAATTCGGGATTCTTGGACGCTAACAGTTCTCAATTATGTTGACCCGTTGAAATTGACCCGCTTGAATATTTATATATATATATATAAAGATGAGATAATGCATAGGTGGCATGATTATATTGATTTATTGAGATTATGATCAATAGCCGTCTTCTATCATTTGAACAAACAATTTGAAAAATGTCAATTCTCTCACATTTCTCCACAAAACTATCTTCTACCAATAAATAAAAAATTTGGAAAATATAATTTCTCATATTTTCCAAAATTTAGAAACCAACAGCCTCTTCCTCTTTATCTCTTTGATATCTCAAGTCCCAAGTCTATCTCTTGGTCTCCTCTATGAAACCGTCATCTTTTTTACTCTCACCTATGATTCATTCATGTTCAAGTCCTCAGTTAATACCTTCAAGATTTAATTAGACTGAGTCGAAGGCTCTCAATCCTTTAACTCTCTCACGGTGATGGAGGATTATTGTCCGATCTCCCTCGACAGAGTGATACAATGACGACGGCATCGATGAAGGCATAACTAGATTTGAGATTTGATTGATGATTTCTTCTATACTGCAGATCGCATTTTTCTTTTTTTGACTTTTCTTTGTACATCTCTTACTTATATATATATATATCATACATGTATATTTTTAGATTTATATCTTTCTATTGGAGCATTTATATCTATATATATATATATATCCTTGTTACTACTGAATCTTCTCACTACCACTGACTGTCAAACCAAAATTATCACTTGGTTGATTTCAAGGAGGTGTCTCGGTTGACAACGGATGAGAGATCTTCCAGCCCGAAACATTCGGTTCGGTTGACGGGTTCATAGCAAATCCGACTCGACCGGACTAGGAAACACCCCCAAGAGATAAATTTTGAAAAAGTAGAATACTACTTTAGGGGTATTTTGGGAAGATGGTAAAAAGTGATTTTTTGACTTTTAATTAAGCTTTTGGTTTTTTTAGACAAGTGATTTGGGAAGTTGGTAAAAAGTTTGCTTTTGGTTTTTTTTGATTAATAATTGTTTATGCTGTCAAATCACAATAAAATAACCAAACTACCTCCATTCAATTTAAAATATTTAGGGGTTGTTTGGGGTGTCCTAAATAAGTGCACTTTTTGTCCTTTTAGACTAAAAAGTTGAGATTGAAAATATGAATGTTTGGGTTAACTTTTTGACTTTTATGGAAAAATGTGTATTAAAAAATTGTATAAATTAATGTGTAGGAGAAAATTAGTATTGAGAGTTGTGTAGCCGTAATTGTTGACTTTTTGTGAATATGGATAACTTTTTAACTTTTTGAGTAACTTTTTGACTTTTTAGCTTTTTTGAGACTTCTCAAACTTGGCCTTACTTCACTCATGTAGCACATTTTAACCTATGAGAGGTAGAATTGTAATTTTACCAGTGGCTGAAAATCAACTTTTTAAATGTCTTTAAATACAAAAAAGCCAACAACTTTTAGCTTTTGCTACAAATGCACAAACGTGGCTAAAAGCCAAGTACCCAAAAGAGGCCTTAATCTCACTGTTCTTTTATTTATTTTAACAATTATACTCTAATAATATGCAAATAATATTACAATTTTAATTTTATAATAGTTTGGATACTTGACCTAGAATGTTCGAAAAGTATTCAATACTTCTCAAAATTAGCATCAAGTGTCAGATACGTTTAGGAAGTATCATAATGTGTCTGCAAGTATTTAAGGAGTATTAGTATCCGATATGGATACAACTCCCTTTTAAAAGTATCCATACTTCATCATTTATTGTGATGTTTCTAGAAATATGTGGAGCTTATTGTTGTCTCTCCTTGTTTGGAGTTAATTGGGTGATGTTAGCTGGGTTCTTTAACTTTTTGTATGTTGGGATTATGGGTGCCGTATGATGAGGATAAAGGGTGTTTGAAGGGTGATGATAGGGAATCAGGGAGCCCACAAGTGCACAGCAGTACCGGCCCAATCCATTAAGGAGAAACTCTAAAGTCCACAGACGCCACATTAAGGCCCAACATTTATTGTTTGAAACTCATATCCACTTAAAAGTTTAAGCCTGTAAGTGAAAAGTACATCTAATGTATATTAAGACTCACTCATTTTATTCTTTATTTGATGTGGGATCTTCAAACATGCTCCAACAATCTCCCCTTCATGTGTGAATCAAATATTGGGTTGGGTCTCGCCTTGCTTGCCCCCCCTCTCTCTCGAGTTTAATCTATCATCAGTAGGTTCATTATAGATCATACACGCTTCCCTTTAATCGTGATCTATAATTCTCCAACATCGAGTCTAGCCTATGTTACACGGACTCAGGTGCAGGTATCGGGTGCTGGTGCGTATCTAAGGGTCAGACACTTCAAAATTAAAAATCAAGGATACGTGGATACGGATATGGGGGTACGTCAAATAATTATTTCTTAAATATATATTTTTTTATACACATGAATTATATATATATTTTTATAAACATGAGTTAAAAAGTTGATCCAATAATTTTTTTATATATAGTTTATAGACCAAACATATAAATTAACTACATAACAGCCTTTGTTGATTAAAATTTTAATAGGCCCAAAGTTTAATAGGCCCAAAGTTTTACTTATTTGCCTCAGCCCAATTGTTTTAAATTTTTTTTTTATAAAAAGAATAAAATAGAAATATGAAATATAATAAATAAATAATAAATAAAGAATAAGAGAGAGAGAGAGAGAGAGAGAGAGGGGCAGATCAAAAGCAGATCTGGATTAGAAGAGAAAGGCAGATCTAGAATAGAAGAGAAAGACAGCGAACGAGAGAGAGAGAGAGAGAGAGAGAGAGAGAAAGAGAGAGAGAGACGTGACAGAGAAAGAGAGAGGGGGTTACAGTTGTGCTCGTTGAAGACGAAGACGAAGTCGGCCCTTTCGAAGACGAAGACGAAGACGAAGGACGCGAGCAGGGGGATCGAAGTCGGCGACAGAGGGATCGATGTCTTGCCCTTTCGAAGTCGGCGACAGGTTCTCTCCTTACTCTCTTCTCTTTCGTTTCTTCTCCCGTATCCATTTGTACAGAGCCGTATCCCGGCCGTATCCCGCACCCGTACCCGTACCCGTGTCGTGTCGTGTCGTGTCGACACGGGTACCTCCCAAAAACGTCGAAGACGAAGACGAAGACGAAGACGAAGGACGCGAGCAGGGGGATTGAAGTCGGCGACAGAGGGACGATGTCTTGCCCTTTCGAAGTCGGCGACAGGTTCTCTCCTTACTCTCTTCTCTTTCGTTTCTTCTCCCGTATCCATTTGTACAGAGCCGTATCCCGGCCCTATCCCGCACCCGTACCCGTGTCGTGTCGTGTCGTGTCGACACGGGTACCTCCCAAAAAATGAAGAGTCTGTGTAACGTAGAGTCTAGCTTGGGCCACCAACACATACTCTATCATGATCCACCATACTCCATTGAGAGCCACCTTGTCGTGGTCCAACCTGACCACCTACACCAGGATTTTTCTTTGCTCCATCAAGAGTCATCATGGATTTTTCTTGCTCCAAATAGATCGCTAGCCATTGGCTCTGATTCTAATTGCTAGGGAATTAGGGAGCCCACAAACACATAGCAATAACGGCCCAATCCATCATGGAAAAACTCTAGAGTACACAGACGCCACATGAAGACCTAACACATATTGTTTCAAACTCATACCCACTTAAAAGCTTAAGCATGTAAGTGGAAAGTCCATCCAATGTATATTAAGACCACTCGTTTTATTCTTTATGGGATATGGGACTCTACCTTCACACATGCTCCAACAAGTGGCTTCCTTGTGCTTATTGTGAAGCCTTTTGAAGATGTATAAACAGATGTTCACAGGCTCAAGCTTTCTTTGTTATGTGATTTTTGTGGTTCCTTATTTTTGTTGGTAGATTTTATAGGGGAGGTGCATTTTTGGGAGGGGTTATAGTTTTTGACCATTCTTGTATCTATTTTCCTGTGATTCTTTTATGCATAGTGGTGTCGTTCACTTGGGTTTCATCTAATACAATTTTATTTTTACTTATCAACAAAAAAATACTAGTTATTTTTATCCAAAAGCATTCCAATAAGAAATGGTGAAGTAGACAGTGATATGGAGAAAGCACAAGACCCGAACTTTTCCAATGAAGTTCATGCTTTGATTTGGACATTTCAAGCTTGCTCAACTACACTGATGGTGGTCATGGATTTGTAATTTGTTGAATAAATTATGCGAAGGGTGGGCAGGTACACTTCCTGGGACCTCTAGAATGTTGTGTTGTCTAAGAAATTGACAAAGGAACATATTTACCATTCTAAATTTAGTGGTCCCCTGTTTTAAACAGGGCCATGATTTTGTCCAAAAGTGGGTGGATAAAAACCAAACATTTATAAGTCATGTTTCCAAACTAGGAACCACATTGAGCAGACTGGAATAATGCTCACTAAAACTTCTAGTTAAGGCATGAAGATTTCCTCTTGGGATTCTCAATGTGACTACTTAACATGCTGCCATCATTTTTAACTAGTTGAATCATGTTTCTATGGGAAACCATTAATGAAACCATTTGTTTATTTCATTTAACAGGAAGCGCTTATTTAGCCTGATAAATGATCTGCCTACCGTATTTGAAGTCGTGACAGAGAGGAAGCCCATAAAGGACAAGCCCAGTATGGATAGCGGAAACAAATCCAGAATCACCACCAAGGTAAACCGTTCAATTTCATAAAGATATTTTCTGTTTTTACTCTTCCCCTAGTCTGAGTTATGAATTATGCTGACTTTGTCCTCCAGAGATCAAGTGATGGACAGTCGAAAAACAATCTGAAGCTATATGATGAGAATTATGAGGAGGATGAAGATGAGCATGGTGAAACCCTTTGTGGGAGCTGCGGGGGAAATTACAGCGGTGATGAGTTTTGGATAGGCTGTGACATTTGTGAGAGGTGGTTCCATGGGAAGTGTGTAAAAATAACACCAGCCAAGGCGGAAAGTATCAAGCAGTACAAATGCCCCTCTTGCAGCACTAAGAAGAGCAGGCAGTAGAGGCTGAATGAAAGCTTTGGAGCTCTTACTGTTTAGTTGACTAATATTGCTCTAAAGCAGTTATGTTTGTTTTTTCTCCTCTCTCTGCCCCACAACTCCCCAAAATTATTGCCCTCTTAATTTCTCATGCTCTTTTTTTTTTTTTTTTTTTTGACTGTCTAGTTGTTAAAATGCTTATGGGCAATGATATTTTTCTTCAAAGGTCAAAGTATATGTTTTATGTTGGTTTTCAATTTTAAGGAATGCTGCTTTGCAAGTGTTTGCTTAGGAACCTGTATTTAATTAGGTCATGCTGTCGATACCATCGTGAAATATTGATTGCTGTTTGATAGTTCTGAATTTTCTGTTGAAATGCAAGAAGAGTGTTAAACCATTATATCATTATCTCTCTCTATTCGTGTTGTCAAATTTGATTTCTATTTCCTTCACTGTATTGCTGTATCATATAATCTTGTTTTCTACAACGATACGATTCTTACATTGTCACACATTGAAAAAGTAGAAGTTTAGTCACGTGAATACAAGTCTTTTGGGCATTCTCATGGTACTAGTCGGTTTTTAAGGATGAGTTTTATTGAAGTAATTTGTATTATTTGGTATCGTAGCTAACTACAGTGCTGTAACTTATGCGAGTATGGGATTGAATAGGATACGGTTTTGCAGTTTGAGCTAGCTGTGGAGGTGACGATCAACGGGTCTGTCAATAGTTTGGTCTGTGAACAATCTCTCTCCAAACAGAGTGGGTTGTTAAAGAATATATATATGCCCTGATTTAAGAGAGTGAGGACTAGAATTATCGTATGTTTTGCGTTGTATGTTCTGTTAATAAGATCAACCTTTGAACTTCGAATAAAAAAGAAATCTTTATTTGATTATGTACCAAACCCAGATAATCTCACATTGGTTCCCAAGTTTCTTAGGGATTAAGATTTTCTCCATTAAAACAACCTAAGCTTGTAGCGGGGCGGTAGGGACTCGAACTCTTTTGTCGGAAGTGTTTGGGTTTGAGTATCTCGCTAGATGGGGTGAAGCAGGCTTTTTATTTCTATTTTTATGGTATTTGGCCCAAATGACCAATTAATCCAAGTGAGGCAGGCCTTTGCCTGGATTTCTATGTTTGAAATTTTTTTTAGACCTAAAAAAGTAATTAAAAAGTTTTTCTCCATTATTGATTTAAAATGAGACAGTATGAAGTTGCAAACAAAATATAAAATTTGCAGTTTGTAAATTGTCATGTCATTTTGAGTTTTAATACCTCTATTAGATGTTTTGGAGTTCAAATATTGACATGATTCTTTCACTTAGGACTCCAGTTGAATCGAATCGAGTCAAACTTTCGAAATGAATCGAGTCGAGCTAAAACTTTGTAAGGCTTGAGAGTTTGGCTTGATAACTAATCAAAGTTTGAGCTCAGTTCGAAGTTAGATAATGATTTTTTTGGATTATTATTTATATTATTTAAATATATAAGTAATATATTTACAAAATGAACCTTGTGAGCCAACACACATTTCTCACATGTGCTATTTTATTAGAAAGGAAAAAAAAAAGAAGGTAATGAAAGTGTTTGGAATGCAATGAATGATGAGCATTGTCGGTGGTGGAAAAATTTCATTCCAAATCCTGTGTTTAAAAACACAGTATTCCTAAATAATTGTACTCTCATTTATTGGATTTTACAGTATGGTAATAATCTCACAACCACCAATCTAGGCCAGACAATTTTTTATTTTTTATTTTTTTATGACTAACATGAAAAATATTTGAGACATTTAATTATTATTCTTAAAATTACTTTTAATGGTATATTTGATAAATGTCAAATTTAAACTTATTAAATATTTTATTATATGAAATCTAATTTTAATAACATATCATTAAAAATCATTTAAGAGTTATAAAATAAGAAAGGTAACATTAATACAAAACATAACACAGATGCGACATTTCATGTGTGTGGTCACCTCAAGCCTTTTTATTTTTGGGTTTGGTCCAACCACAAAGAAAATCTATCACCTCCTCTTCCTTTTCTTTTTTTGGCTTTTAGCTTACGAAAAGAAAATCTTTCTCTGTTTTTCATTGTGATTTGTGTGAGTGTAGGGTCAAGCTAGCACTACTCAGTACAGCCCCTCATTCTAAAGCCTTGGCCCAAAAAATACCTTTTAAAAAAATAAATAAATTATCAGTTGATTTTAATGGTTACAAACTTACAGTTATTTTTTTTTAAGTCCTATACTAAATAAGTTTTAATAAAATCGTTATTAAAAATAATTTTTTATAACGATTTTTTTACATTTGTCGCCAAAAATTAACAAATTAATGACTTTTTTATCAATAATTTTTATGAATTGTCACTAAAACTTACAATTAGTAACTTTTTCTGTGATAAAACTTTCAAACTGTCGCTTAAAGTTTAAAATTAGTGACTTTTTTATAACAATTTTTTTTTTATAAAAAAACTATCGCTAAACTATTAGTGACATTTTTTGTGACAAAATTTTTAAACTGTTACTGAAAATTGATAATTAGTGACTTTTTTAATAGTGTTTGATTAAACATGTCACTAATCTAATTATCATATGACTTATTGAATAATAAGTCCACCTATTAGGATTGACACGTAAGTCCTCTTAAAAAAAATAAAGAGAAATAACTACGCAATGGATGCTGTAAAGAAAATATAAAAAATGTGCAAATTTTTTCATATTTTTGTACTTTTTTTTTTTGCTGCACCCACTGTGTAATTTCTCCAAAAAATAATTGTTCATTATAATGTTTTGTAACAAACACTACTTCATGTTTAATTTAGTTTTCAAAATTTGTTTCAAGAAATTTTTCTAAAAATTTTAAAATTAGTTACATGAAAAAAATATAAAATATAAAAATAAAAAATACTTATCATTTTTATATAGTTTCACCTTTTGGAGGGCATAAATAATTCTTACAAATTAAAAAAAATATATTTTTAATGTTTATTTTTGTCAAACTAGTTTCTATTTTTATTTTTATTTTTATTTTTAAATCTGAAAATAATTTCAGAAATTCAAACCAAACATAACATACTTTCAAGACCTTAGAATTAGTTGAGCGGTACGCAAACTGACCTGAACACTCAATTATATATACAAAAAGAACAAAAAAAAAAAAAACACTATATTAAAATAATTGATATGTCTATTACACCGTTTATATTATAACTACAATAGCTATAATTTTCACGGTAGGAGTGTACATAACGAATTTGTCATTCATAATATTATTTTATTTTATTTTTTCAAAATGGTATAACACTGCAAACATTTTGTGCATAGTTACATTTTTATTGTGTAAATTTAAATTCAAAATGAAACTTGTCCATATTTCAAATTAGGCATTGTTTCTCCCCATTCTAATTATGGATTGGACCTGTATAATTTGAGCTCGTTTGCCTACCACAGATTCCATGTTGATAATTTGATGAGGAAATTTTCTTTTACCCGTCACGCTATTACTCAAAAATTAATTTAGCCCATATTCTTTTAATAATATCAATTTTATACCTAAATTATTCAATTTCGTATCAAGTTTACCTATGCCGTTAGCTTTCGTCTATAATTAAATGGAGGTTACTAACATGGCACTAAAACTTCATTTTACTCCCTCAACTATTCCAAAAATATCAATTCAACCCCTAATATATATAAAAAAAATTAAATTTAAATATCTAATAATAGTTTTATCTAAAAGGTCAAGGAAAATCAATTTTAAATAATAACATTTACAATTTTTTTAAAAAAATGCTTCATTTAAAACTGTCGCTTGAAGTCACAAATTATGGAGTCCACTCTAGAAAAACTAATTAAACCTAAAATTCTAAGTCTACTCACTTTCTTAGCAATTATATAGGTAGCTTATCTTCCTGTCTCAATAAGACTGATCGGTATGTAGCATGTGAAAATTGTGGGTAAAAATGTAGACCATGAGATAAATATCTTCTTTTGAGATTTGGAAAATAATATTGAATGAAGAAAATTATTATTAAATATTATATTTTTTTTGGATCAGGAATAAAATCTTCATTGTAAAATCGATAAAAAAATGGGATCAATCTTGTACAACGGTATCAACATATCTCATAAAAAGATAACAAACTTCCATAGGAGGAAGAATCCTAGCCTCCATAGAGGAGAAGAAAAAACCCTTACAAACGAGGGACATAATCTTCACACAAGGAGGATTATTATAGCAAATAATAAAAAAATAAAAAAGCAAACCGAAAACAACCAAATCCAAGTTGCCAAACGCATTCAAAGCTCCATTACACCGCAACCTTCAACTTGAAATCTGATGACCTCACCTTCGTTGGTCAAAATAGAATATTGAGGTTAAGGTGATCGCCTAGTGTGAAATGAACGCGTTAAATAGCGTTGGTCTTCGGATTGTGAGAAGATCTGAAACTATATCTTAAAGTTTTGGGTGCAAGCCAAACATCAAATTTGGAATATCGAAAAGAGAGAGAGGTGACGCAAACACCGGTGGCCAGAGGCCAATCTGAAGGAAATGAGGCAGATTTGGTGAGGATGGATCCATGGAGGCGGGAAGGTGGCAGATCTGATGGCGGTGTGGTGGTGGCGTGTGGTGTACTGAATTCCTTTTAGCATTTGAGTACATTATTGGTGATCTTTGTCCCTTTGTGTGTCTTCTTCTTTATTAAACCTTTTGAAGCTTGTGTTGTTATCCATTCTCCCTTGTGGTTGTTCCGTTAGGTATATCCTTGTGTATTCCGAGATGTCTTTTTTTGTAATTTTGGGTGTTGGACAGAAACCGAGAAGGTTGGCCAATGTTTTGGTAGTTCCTAGTCTCACTTTCAGGTTGAGACCGCTCGAGCGGTGAATTCAACCTTCCAATACTTTGATTTGTAGTCTAAACTTTTGGGAGCATGAATTCTTCACTCGAGGAAAAATTCATCGCTCGAGTGAGCAGTCTTTTGCAGAGGGGAATGGAGATACTGGGAGTGAGTGCTTTTTTCTCGAGCGGTCTTTCAAATTGAACTGTTCGCTCAAGCGCACGATTGGTCACTCGAGTGGTTTTAGCTTCAAAAATTGAGTCAAATCACTCCAAAGTTGAGCCTTACTCACTTTTCTATCACTTTTCACTTCACACTCTCTCTCTACATTAACTCTCACTCTCTTTTCTCTCATTTCTGTCTCTAGAAACCCACCAACTCACTTCATTTACTCCTTGATCTCTCACTATCCATTGAGATTTTAACCTTGGTGCTTTCTTTAATTTTGGAAAGCTCGTCGAGGGCTACGTGGTGTACGATGGAGATCGGATTTTAACCCCGTTGGTTTCGGAACTTCTCACCCTTTTTTCTCAAGGTCTTAAGGTAGGGAT